CAAAACGGGACTGAATCGTGTTTTTAATGATGGTGTTTTAAAATAACTCTCCTCGTTTCGCTGTTTTTAAAAATAGAAAATAAAAAAATAAAAAAATGTGCACAAACCCGTTTTTTTTTTTTTTTTTTTTTTTTCAGCTCCTGTTTCAGATTCCAAATGTTCCGTCGTGAAAATTGGAGCGGAGCGGCGTGTTCCTGCGACCATATAAGGAGAGAGACAGAAGCGAGGGAGGAGGTGAGGACAAGAAAGAGGAGAGAGAAGAGAGAGAGAAGAGAGAGAAAAGAGAGAGAAGAGAGGGAGGGAGAGAGGGAGCAGTGTTCCTGATGTGATTAAATCTCAGTTCTATTTTGGTCTCCTGTTTGACTCATTCTGTTTGTCTCTACAACTCCTCCTCTTCTCTCCTCCTCTTCTCTCCTCCTCTACTCCTCTCCTCCTCTCCTCCTCTCCTCCTCTTCTCTCCTCCTCTGCTCCTCTACTCCTCTCCTCCTCTGCTCCTCTCCTCCTCTCCTCCTCTGCTCCTCTACTCCTCTGCTCCTCTACTCCTCTCCTCCTCTCCTCCTCTGCTCCTCTACTCCTCTCCTCCTCTACTCCTCTGCTTTTCTCCCCCTCTACTCCTCTACTCCTCTGCTCCTCTACTCCTCTCCTCCTCTGCTCCTCTACTCCTCTACTCCTCTCCTCCTCTGCTCCCTCTACTCCTCTCCTCCTCTCTCCTCTGCTCCTCTCTCTCCTCTCTCTCCTCTCTCTCCTCTGCTCCTCTACTCCTCTACTCCTCTACTCCTCTCTCCTCTACTACTCCTCTACTCCTCTGCTCCTCTACTCTCCTCTGCTCCTCTACTCCTCTCCTCCTCTCCTCCTCTGCCTCCTCTCCTCCTCTCCTCCTCTACTCCTCTACTCCTCCTCTCCTCCTCTCCTCCTCTCCTCCTCTACTCCTCTACTCCTCTACTCCTCTACTCCTCTCCTCCTCTCCTCCTCTACTCCTCTACTCCTCTCTCCTCCTCTACTCCTCTCCTCCTCTACTCCTCTACTCCTCTCCTCCTCTCCTCCTCTCCTCCTCTGCTCCTCTCTCTCCTCCTCTACTCCTCTGCTCCTCTACTCCTCTACTCCTCTACTCCTCTACTCCTCTACTCCTCTGCTCCTCTCCTCCTCTCCTCCTCTGTCCTCTCCTCCTCTCCTCCTCTCTACTCCTCTACTCCTCTCCTCCTCTCCTCCTCTCCTCCTCTCCTCCTCTACTCCTCTCCTCCTCTGCTCCTCTACTCCTCTCCTCCTCTACTCCTCTACTCCTCTCCTCCTCTCCTCCTCTCTCCTCTACTCCTCTACTCCTCTCCTCCTCTCCTCCTCTACTCCTCTACTCCTCTACTCCTCTTCTCCTCTCCTCCTCTCCTCCTCTCCTCCTCTACTCCTCTGCTATCCTCTACTCCTCTCCTCCTCTTCTCCTCTCCTCCTCTCCTCCTCTACTCCTCTCCTCCTCTCCTCCTCTCCTCCTCTACTCCTCTACTCCTCTACTCCTCTCTCCTCTCCTCCTCTCCTCCTCTCTCCTCTACTCCTCTCCTCCTCTACTCCTCTGCTCCTCTACTCCTCTACTCTCTCTCTCTACTCTCTACTCCTCTACTCCTCTACTCCTCTCCTCCTCTGCTCCTCTACTCCTCTACTCCTCTCCTCCTCTGCTCCTCTACTCCTCTCCTCCTCTCCTCCTCTGCTCCTCTACTCCTCTACTCCTCTACTCCTCTCTTCTCTACTTCCTCTCTCCTCTCTCCTCCTCCTCTCCTCTATGCTCCTCTACTCCTCTCCTCCTCTCCTCCTCTCTTTCTCTCCTCTACTCCTCTCCTCCTCTACTCCTCTACTCCTCTACTCCTCTACTCCTCTACTCTCCTCCTCTACTCCTCTCTCCTCTCTCTTCTACTCTCTGCTCCTCTGCTCCTCTACTCCTCTACTCCTCTCCTCCTCTCCTCCTCTGCTCCTCTCCTCCTCTCCTCCTCTACTCCTCTACTCCTCTCCTCCTCTCCTCCTCTCTCTCCTCTACTCTCCTCCTCTCCTCCTCTCCTCCTCTCCTCCTCTACTCCTCTACTCCTCTACTCCTCTTCTCCTCTCCTCCTCTCCTCCTCTCCTTCCTCTACTCCTCTTATCCTCTACTCCTCTACTCCTCTCCTCCTCCTCCTCCTCTCCTCCTCTCCTCTCTCCTCCTCTTCTCCTCTCCTCCTCTCCTCCTCCTCCTCCTCTACTCCTCTCCTCCTCTGCTCCTCTGCTCCTCTGCTCCTCTCCTCCTCTCCTCCTCTACTCTCTCTGCTCCTCTCCTCCTCTCCTCCTCTCTTCCTCTCCTCCTCTGCTCCTCTCCTCCTCTACTCCTCTCCTCCTCTGCTCCTCTCCTCCTCTGCTCCTCTGCCCTCTGCTCCTCTGCTCCTCTCCCCTCCTCTCCTCCTCTACTCCTCTCCTCCTCTACTCCTCTGCTCCTCTACTCCTCTCCTCCTCTCCTCCTCTGCTCCTCTCCTCCTCTCCTCTCTACTTCCTCTGCTCCTCTCTCCTCTCCTTCTCTCTCTTCTGCTTCTCTTTTCTCTCTTCTTTTGCTCCCCTGCTCCTCCTCTGCTCCCCTTTTCTCTCCTCTCCTCGTCTCTTCTCTCCTTTTCTCCTCTTCTCTACTCCTCTTTTCTCTCCTCTTCTCCTCCTCTCTTTCTCTCTCCGTTCTCCTCTTCTCCTCTGCTCCTTTCTCCTCTCCTTCTCCTCTCCTCTGCTCCTCTTTCCTCTGCTCTTTTGCTCTTCTCTCTCTTCTCTGCTCCTCTTTTCTCTCCTCTTTTGCTCCTCTCTTATCTCCTCCTCTCTCCTCTACTCCTCCACTCATCTCCTCCTCTTTCCTATGCTCGTTTGCTCCTCTTTCGTCTTCTCTGCTCCTCTCTTCTGCTCCTCCTCTCTTCTTCTCTCTTCTCTCCTCCTTTGCTCCTCTCTTCTCTCTCCTCTTCTCTGCTCTTGTGTTCCTCTCTTCCTCTCCTCCTTTTTCCTCTGCTTCTCTCCTCTTCTCTACTCCTCTTGTCTATCTTCTCCTCCTCTCTTTCTCTCTCCTCTTCTCCTCTTTCCTCTGCTCTTTTGCTCCTCCTCTCTTCTTCTCTCCTCCTCTCCTTTACTCTTCTGCTCCTCTCCACCGTTTCTCCTCTCCTCCTTCTTCTTCTCTTCTCTTCTCCACCACTCTCTCTCTTTTCTCTTCTCTCCTCTTTCTACAAACACAAACTAATTATTTCATCACTTTCTTGCTGTTTTTTTTTTTGTTTGTTTGTTTGTGTTTTACATTTTGAGCCTCACGTTCTGACGTCGTTCCTGATCACAAACCTGCCTGAAGACGTTCTAGATCATCCGTGCGTGTTTGAGTCATCTAGAGATCTCTCCCGGGCCTTTTCAAACCCTCCTCACAGTTAAAAGTGTTTTGTTTTGTTTTGTTTTTTGTTTTTATTCTATTTAACATTAAAAGTCTGACTCTGTGTGTGTTTTCTGATAAACTTGATAAAGTGTAAATGTTGTGAAAGAGAAATCTGAGGTCAGTTTGTGGTTTTGGGAGGGACACAGAACTCGCTGCCGTTACAGAATTTAACCGTGAAATACAGTTTTACAGTCCACCCCAGAACGGAAGGAAGGAAGGAAGGAAGGAAGGAGGGAGGAGGGAGGAGAGGAGGGAGGAGAGGACATAACTGTGGACAGAACACAGAGATTATTGGGGCAACACTCGTGTACTTTATTATTTAACTTTTGTTTATTCAGAATTTAAGAAGAACTTTTAAATTTTAACTTTTAAAATATCTGCACATTTTACTGCTGTTTTACTGTAGTAGTAGTAGTAGTAGTAGTAGTAGTAGTAGTAGTAGTAGTAGGAGTAGGAGTAGGAGTAGTAGTAGTAGGAGTAGTAGTGGTAGGAGTAGTAGTAGTAGTAGTTGTAGTAGTAGTAGTAATAGTAGTGATAGCAGTAGTAGTAGCAGTAGTAGCAGTAGTAGTAGTAGTAGTAGTAGTTGTAGTAGTAGTAGTAGTAGTAGTGATAGCAGTAGTAGTAGCAGTAGTAGCAGTAGTAGTAGTAGTAGTAGTAGTAGTAGTAGTAGTAGTAGTAGTAGTAGTAGTGATAGTAGTACGTAAAATTGACACAAATGATGATCTTAATTCAAGTCAGTTAATTTATTCTATGTTATTATAGTACTTTATTGACACTGTAATATTAATTTTAAAAAAATGTGAATAAGTTTGAGGGAACTTCAGATCTTATCACTTTTTATTTTTATCTGTATTATTTTTATTTGTTTTATTTTTATCTGTATTATTTTTATTTGTTTTATTTTTATCCGTATTATTTTTATTATTTTTTTATTATTATTTTTTGTTTTATTTTTATCTGTATTATTTTTATTTGCATTATTTTTATCTGTATTATTTTTATTTGTTTTATTTTTATCTGTATTATTTTTATCTGTATTATTTTTATTTGTTTTATTTTTATCTGTATTATTTTTATTATTTTGTATTATTTTTATTTGTTTTTATTTTTATCTGTTTATTTTTTATTAGAATTATTTTTAACTGTATTATTTGTATTTGTATTATTTTTATCTGTATTATTTTTATTAGAATTATTTTTATCTGTATTATTTGTATTTGTATTATTTTTATCTGTATTATTTGTATTTTTATTATTTTTATCTGTATTATTTTTTATTTGTATTATTTTTATTTTTATTATTTTTATCTGTATTATTTTATTTTTATTATTTTTATTTGTTTTATTTGTGTTATTTTTATCTGTATTATTTGTATTTGTATTATTTTTATCTGTATTATTTGTATTTTTATTATTTTTATCTGTATTATTTTATTTTTATTATTTTTATTTGTTTTATTTGTGTTATTTTTATCTGTATTATTTTTTATTTTTATTATTTTTATTTTTATTATTTTTATCTGTATTATTTATATTTGTATTATTTTTATTTGTATTACTTAATTTTTTTTTTTTTTTTTTTTTCTTACCCTCTGACGTCACAGCTGCTCCCCGCCGTACCGCGCATGCGCCCCGTGCGGAAGCGGAAGCCAGCAGCATCATGTCTGTGGAGGACCCGTTTTTCGTGGTGAAGGGGTGAGATTTTTTTATTTTTTGGTCTAAAATCACGTCACGTTTTTTGTCTAAAATCACGTCCCCCGCCCGTGCGCCCGCATGTCACGCTCGGGTTCGCGGGATCGGCGCCGTTTCGGAGGCGTGTTGTGGGGCCGTTAGCCTTTAGCCGTTAGCCTGGTGCTAAGTGTGTTTACATGACGCTCCCCGCGACTCGATTTCACTCCGGATTCTCCAAACTCTAAACTGAACTTTACTTTACTTTAATTTCTGCAGCTGTCTCGTTGTCTCGTGTTTTTGTGTTGGAATAAAACATGTGTCAGAAGCGTCACTAGAACAGACCAGAACCAGTCCGGATTTAGACCTGGTTTAGTCCTGGTTTAGACCTGATTTAGTCCTGGTTTAGTCCTGGTTTAGTCACCTGGTTTAGACCTGGTTTAGACTTTGTTTAGACCTAGTTTAGACCTTCTTTTAGTCCTAGTTTAGTCCAGACTTAGACCTAGTTTAGTCCTGCTTTTAGTCCTTGTTAAATCCTGGTTTAGTCCTGGTTTAGACCTTCTTTTAGTCCTGATTTTAGTCTTGGTTTAAACCTGGTTTAGTCCTGGTTTAGACCTGGTTTAGTCCAGATTTAGACCTAGTTTAGTCCTGCTTTTAGTCCTTGTTAAATCCTGGTTTAGTCCTGGTTCAGTCCTGGTTTAGTCCTGATTTAGACCTGGTTTAGACTTTGTTTAGACCTGATTTAGACCTGATTTAGTCCTGGTTTAGACCTGGTTTAGACCTGGTTTAGTCCTGGTTTAGTCCTGATTTAGACCTGGTTTAGACCTGGTTTAGACCTGGTTTAGTCCTGGTTTAGTCCTGGTTTAGACCTGGTTTAGATCTGGTTTAGACCTGGTTTAGACCTGGTTTAGTCCTGGTTTAGACCTGGTTTAGACCTGGTTTAGTCCTGGTTTAGTCCTGATTTAGACCTGGTTTAGTCCTGGTTTAGTCCTGGGTTAGACCTGGTTTAGATCCTCTGTTTAGACCTGGTTTAGACCTGGTTTAGTCCTGGTTTAGACCTGGTTTAGTCCTGGTTTAGTCCTGATTTAGACCTGGTTTAGTCCTGGTTTAGACCTGGTTTAGACCTGGTTTAGACCTGGTTTAGTCCTGGTTTAGACCTGGTTTAGTCCTGGTTTAGTCCTGGTTTAGTCCTGGTTTAGTCCTGGTTTAGACCTGGTTCCATGTGGCGCTTGGATTTACCCGAGGAGGTGTCTGTCTGTCATAGCCACAGCTGCCCTGAGGCGAACTGACAAAAATGTGGCTGTTATTCTGAACCACTGGTCTGTAGAGCTGTGCAAAAATACCCAAATATCGATATATCGTAAATGATTTAGTTCCAGCTACAGTTTTGTTGTTTGTTCAGAGGACACATTTGACATTTTCACTGTTTTGACGATTAAAATGTTTGTGTTTCATGTGAACTTTACACAAGAAGTGATTTAACAAAGACTTTTAGTGTCACAGCCATGATTCAGTATCGTGTATCGAATTGATTTGAAATATATCAAACTGAATCGTATTGAATCATAAGCTCGTTGTATAGAGTTACAGCCCACGTCTGCCGTCAGTGACGCCTCCAAACAATTATTCACTGTCCTTGACCTTTTCGCCAAATGTTTGTGAGATCGTCCGTCGCTCCGTCTGTGAACAGCTTCATCCACTCACACTTTTATCGATCAGAAAGTCAAGTTCACGTGACAGAAACTGATCAAAAGCACCTGCAGTTGTCACGATTGTTTTTTTAGACGTTCCGATTCTTTTTTGACACGTGAACCTGACGTTATTTCCACGAGAGTCCGAGGTCCACTGTTCCATGTTCAGTTAAAATGTCTGTTCGTTTTACATTAACTTCACGCTCCACACAACATTTTTTAAAATCACGTGATCTGTTTCTGTTTCAAAAAGACGTTTTCGTTCATTCAAAGACCATCGGATGAGGCCGATTATTCGTGCACGATTTCGATTTATGTTTCAAGTTTCAAACAGACCCGTAAAGGTAACACTTTATAATAACTACACCTTACTTAGCCTTAATAAAGCATGAACAAAGACTTAATTAATAATGAACAAAGACTTAATTAATAATTAACAAAGATTTAATTAATGATTCACGCTTAGTAACTACTTAATAGTAGTAGTAGTAGTAATAATAGTACAAGTAGTAATAGTAGTAGTAGTAATAGTAGTACAAGTAGTAGTAGTTGCAAGTAGTAGTAGTAGTAGTAGTAGTTGCAATAGTAGTAGTAGTAGTAGTAGTAGTAGTAGTAGTAGTAGTAGTAGTAGTAGTAGTAGTAGTAGTAGTAGTAGTAGTAGTAGTAGTAATAGTAGTAGTAGTAGTAATAGTAGTAGTAGTAGTAATGATACTACAAGTAGTAGTAGTAATAGTAGTATAGTAGTAGTAGTAGTAGTAGTAATAGTAGTAGTAGTAGTAGTAGTAGTAATAGTAGTATAGATAGTAGCAGTAGTAGTAGTAGTAGTAGTAGTAGTAATAGTAGTAGTAGTAGTAGTAGTAGTAGTAGTAGTAGTAGTAGTAGTAGTAGTAGTAGTAGTAGTAGTAGTAGTAGTAGTATAGTAATAGTAGAATAGATAGTAGTAGTAGTATTAATAGTAGTAGTAATAGTAGTAGTAGTATAGAGTAGTAGTAGTAGTAATAGTACAAAGAAAGAGAACAAGAACAAAGACTTAATTAACAATGAATAAAGACTTAATTAATAATGATTCACGCTTAGTAAATGTTTAATAAAACATAATTCATCTTCACTTTAGAAAAACTCTCAGAAAGACTTAACTAACAGATAACAGCTGACTGAATTATCACTGCATTGTATTATTAGTAAATCATTCTCTCTGAGATTAATAATGATTAATAAATGATTAATTAATGCCCAAATGGTTAGTTCATGAGTAATTAAGTATGAAATAATTATGAGTAACTATTTACAGCACAGGCAAATTAAGTGCAAGTGCTAATTAAGGTAGTAATTAAGTAGTTACTAAGTGTGAATCATTATTAATCAAGTCTTTGTTCATTATTAATTAAGCCTTTGTTCATGCTTTATTAAGGCTAAATAAGGTGTAGTTATTATAAAGTGTTACCTTGAAAAATATCGAAATATCCATATATCGAATAGTTTAATGTGATGATACAGTATCGATATCGTGGGCTCCTGTATCGATATATCGCCAAGAGTATTTTTTGGTTTATTTTACTAATTGTTTTGTTGTTTGTTCAGAGGACACATTTGACATTTTCACTGTTTTGTTGATTTAAATGTTTGTGTTTCATGTGAACTTTGCAAAAGAAGTAGTTTAATGAAGACTTTTAGTGTCACAGATGTGATTTTTTAAATTTTTTTGAACCGTAATCGAATCGATTTGAAATATATCGAATCAAAAACCTACTGTATCAAGATTAGGGCTGGGTATCATTAAGAAATTGACGATACGATACATATCTCGATACATGGGCCACGATACGATACATATCTCGATATATTCCACTTTCAATTCAGTACGATATATTTCAAATCAATTTGATAAAGTTTAATATAAAATAAAGGCTAAATCGTGGCTGTGATTCTAAAAGTCTTTGTTAAACGACTTCTTGTGCAAAGTTAAGAGGAAACAGTAATTTAACAGTAAATTAAGTCAGTAAAAATGTCAAATGTGTTGCATAAACAAATTTACTTCCTCTAAACAAGCAACAAAAACTGTAGCACTGTAACAAGATAATGTAGTAAAATATACCAAAAAAATACTCTTGGCGATATATCGATACAGCAACCCACAATATCGATACTGTATCATCACATTAAACGATACGATATATCGATATTTGAATATTTTTGCACACCCCTAATCAAGATATATTTCGTATTTGCAACTTCTGAATGACGCCCAGCTCTAATAATAATGTTTTGTTTTTGTTTTTTTTAATAAGTGAGATTTTAAAAAATTGCAAAATCTTGAAATTGAGGATTTTTATGATTATAAACTGTTTTACTCCTGACTGTCTTATTTGCAAATCAGGTCATTGTGCTGTTAAACCATTCACACGTAAAAGATCTCATTCTAATTTAAGAATAGAATCATTTGACAATTTCTTAAACTACAGACTACGATAAGAATGAAAATATCAAGATCTGAAAATATCTGTCTGCTCTGGCTTTGATTCAAATCGATTAAAAACACAATTATCAAGTGTTTGCAGAAAATTCCAGGTTTTATTCTTTGGTCACAGGGTGAAGATTTGAGATTTAGTATTTTGTGATTTTAACCTGTACGACGCTCTGAGCCCAGTGTGTTCTCTGCTCTTTGTGTGTGTGTGTGTGTGTGTGTGTGTGTGTGTGTGTGTGTGTGTGTGTGTGTGTGTGTGTGTGTGTGTGTGTGTGTGTGTGTGTGCGTGTGTGTGTGTGTTTTGTAGTGAGGTGCAGAAGGCTCTGTCCAGGGCCAGAGGTTTGTTCGAGCGCTGGGAGGAACTTCTGCAGGACGGGACGCAGGTCAGAACATCTGCACCAGGATCACACTGTGTGAATCTGACTCTGTGTGTGAATCTGACTCTGTGTGTGACTGTACCTGTGTGTGTGACTGTACCTCTGTGTGTGTGACTGTCCCTCTGTGTGTGTGACTGTCCCTCTGTGTGTGTGACTGTCCCTCTGTGTGTGTGTGACTGTCCCTCTGTGTGTGTGACTGTCCCTCTGTGTGTGTGACTGTCCCCTGTGTGTGTGTGACTGTCCCTCTGTGTGTGACTGTCCCCCTGTGTGTGTGACTGTCCCCCTGTGTGTGTGTGTGACTGTCCCCCTGTGTGTGACTGTCCCCCTGTGTGTGACTGTCCCCCTGTGTGTGACTGTACCTGTGTGTGACTGTACCCCTGTGTGTGTGTGACTGTCCCCCTGTGTGTGACTGTACCCCTGTGTGTGTGTGACTGTCCCCCTATGTGTGACTGTACCCCTGTGTGTGACTGTCCCCCTGTGTGTGTGACTGTCCCTCTGTGTGACTGTACCCCTGTGTGTGACTGTCCCCTGTGTGTGACTGTCCCTGTGTGTGACTGTACCCCTGTGTGTGACTGTACCCCTGTGTGTGTGTGACTGTCCCCCTATGTGTGACTGTACCCCTGTGTGTGTGTGACTGTCCCCTGTGTGTGACTGTACCCTGTGTGTGTGTGACTGTCCCTGTGTGTGACTGTCCCTGTGTGTGACTGTCCCCTGTGTGTGACTGTCCCCTGTGTGACTGTACCCCCTGTGTGTGACTGTCCCTGTGTGTGACTGTACCTGTGTGTGACTGTCCCTGTGTGTGACTGTACCCCTGTGTGTGACTGTACCCCTGTGTGTGTGTGACTGTCCCCTGTGTGTGTGACTGTACCTGTGTGTGACTGTCCCCCTGTGTGTGTGTGACTGTCCCTGTGTGTGACTGTACCCCTGTGTGTGACTGTCCCCTGTGTGTGACTGTGTCCCTGTGTGTGACTGTACCCCTGTGTGTGACTGTACCCCTCTGTGTGTGTGACTGTCCCTCTGTGTGTGACTGTCACCCTGTGTGTGACTGTCCCTCTGTGTGTGACTGTACCCTGTGTGTGTGACTGTACCCTGTGTGTGTGACTGTCCCTCAGGTGTGTGACTGTACCCGTTTGTGTGACTGTCCCTCTGTGTGTGACTGTCCTTCTGTGTGTGTGTGTGTGTGTGTGTGACTGTGCCTCTGTGTGTGTGTGACTGTCCCTCTGTGTGTGTGTGTGACTGTCCCTCTGTGTGTGTGTGTGTGTGACTGTGCCTCTGTGTGTGTGTGACTGTACCCCTGTGTGTGACTGTCCCTCTGTGTGTGACTGTACCTGTGTGACTGTCTCTGTGTGTGTGACTGTCCCTGTGTGTGACTGTCCCTGTGTGTGACTGTCCCTGTGTGTGACTGTACCCTGTGTGTGACTGTCCCTCAGTGTGTGTGACTGTACCCCTCTGTGTGTGTGACTGTCCCTCTGGTGTGTGACTGTACCCCTGTGTGTGACTGTCCCTCTGTGTGTGACTGTACCCCTGTGTGCTGTACTGTGTGTGTGTGACTGTACTGTACTGTGTGTGTGTGTGTGTGTGACTGTACCTGTGTGTGACTGTACCTGTGTGTGCAGGTGAGCAGAGATGAGCTGGACTGGAGCACTAACGAGTTGAGGAACTGTCTGAGGGCCATCGACTGGGACCTGGAGGACCTGAGTGAGACCATCAGTATCCTTCACACGTTCAGTCCAAACACGTCCGGCTTTTTTTTTTCATTTGTATTTATATTTATTTTTTATTTTTTTATTTTATCCTCAAACCCCGGCACCTGCTCCAGTCCTGAGTCAGTGCTAGTGCAGCCGCTGCAGCTCAGGGAGGAGCTCTGGAGGTTCTGAGCTTCACATGAGACTGAGACAAAAGCAGGACGTGTCTCTGTGTCTCTCTGTCTCTCTGTCTGTGTCTCTGTGTCTGTCTGTGTCTCTGTGTCTCTGTCTGTGTCTCTGTGTCTCTGTCTGTCTGTGTCTCTCTGTCTCTGTGTCTCTGTCTGTGTCTGTCTCTGTCTGTGTCTCTCTGTGTCTCTGTCTCTGTCTGTGTCTCTCTGTCTGTGTCTCTGTCTGTGTCTCTGTTGTGTCTCTCTGTCTGTGTCTCTGTCTGTCTGTCTGTCTGTCTGTGTCTCTGTCTGTGTCTGTCTGTGTCTGTGTCTCTGTGTCTCTGTCTGTGTCTCTGTGTCTCTGTCTGTCTCTGTGTCTCTCTGTCTGTGTCTCTGTGTCTCTGTCTGTGTCTCTGTCTCTGTCTGTGTCTGTCTCTGTCTCTCTGTCTGTGTCTCTGTCTCTGTCTCTGTCTGTGTCTCTGTCTGTGTTCTCTGTCTCTGTCTCTGTGTCTCTGTCTGTGTCTCTCTGTCTCTGTCTGTGTCTCTGTCTGTGTCTCTCTGTGTCTCTCTGTGTCTCTGTCTGTGTCTCTCTGTCTGTGTCTCTGTCTGTGTCTCTGTCTCTGTCTGTCTCTGTGTCTCTGTCTCTGTGTCTCTCTGTCTGTGTCTCTCTGTCTGTGTCTCTGTCTGTGTCTCTGTGTGTCTCTGTGTCTGTCTGTGTCTCTGTCTGTGTCTCTGTCTGTGTCTCTGTCTCTGTGTCTCTGTGTCTGTGTCTTAGGTCTTGATCTTTCCTTGGTATTGGCCTGATCTCTGTTCTGGTCTCTGGTCTGGTCTGGTCCTGGTCCTGGTCCTGGTCCTGGTCCTGGTCTGGTCCTGGTCTCTGGTCCTGATCCCGGTCCTGGTCCTGGTCTGGTCTGGTCCTGGTCCTGGTCCTGGTCTGGTCTCTGGTCTGGTCCTGGTCTGGTCCCGGTCCTGGTCCGACCTTAGTCCCGGATCTTCACATGAGCGTGGTTATTTTTAAACAGACTTTCTTTTGTGCGTCTGCTTCACTTCCTCTTCTCGCTCTAAATGAATTAGTGTTGATTTTGGAGCTCGGTGTTTCTCTGAAGATCTTCTGTTCCTCACACGTCCTCCACACAAACCAAAAACTCTCTCTGCACGTCCTCTGAACTTCTGATTTCGCTTCACGATTTCATTTAGTTTCAGTGAAAAGATAAAAGTGTGAACATGATGTTAAATGTAGAGCCCGATCGATATATCGGCTATCGGTCGATATGTTTGCTGACAGGGGCCGATATTTCCCGTGGGCAGGTGATACGTCGTTATAAATCTTAGACTCTCGACATTCTGTTCATTTAATCCAATTTACAGACAGATAAATGTTCAAATATGTGACTCCACATCAGTATTTATCTGTGGAGTCATTTGTCTGTGTGTGTGTGTGTGTGTGTGTGTGTGTATGTGTGTGTGTGTGTGTGTGTGTGTGTGTGTGTGTGTGTGTGTGTGTGTGTGTGTGTGTGCTGTGTGTGTGCTGTGTGTGTGTGTGTGTGTGTGTGTGTGTGTGTGTGTGTGTGTGTGTGTGTGTGTGTCTGTGTGTGTGTGTGTGTGTGTCTGTGTGTGTGTGTGTGTGTGTCTGTGTGTGTGTGTGTGTGTGTGTGTGTGTGTGTGTGTGTGTCTGTGTGTGTGTGTGTGTGTGTGTGTGTGTGTGTGTGTGTGTGTGTGTGTGTGTGTGTGTGTGTGTGTCTGTGTGTGTGTGTGTGTGTGTGTGTGTGTGTGTCTGTGTGTGTGTGTGTCTGTGTGTGTGTGTGTGTGTGTGTGTGTCTGTGTGTGTGTGTGTGTGTGTGTGTCTGTGTGTGTGTGTGTGTGTGTGTGTGTGTGTGTGTGTGTCGTACACGTGTGTTTGTTTACACTCACACATTGGTCTAATACAGGAGAGTCAAACTCATTTTGTTCCGGGGGTCGTGTCCAACCGACTTTGATCCAAAGTGTCCGGATCAGAAAACTCATGTCATATAAACCCCAAAAATAACAATAAGTTCAAATATTTGTGCAGAGAAACACAAATCTATTACAGAATTTTTTTTTACTGATGAACTCTTTCTTTTACAAAATATTATAATATTATGAACAACCTGAAACTTTAAGAAAATTTTAATTTCAACACAAAGTTTGAACATGAACTTGTCTGTAAACAGGAATAAGTCCATTTTTGTTGTAAAATCCTGCACTCGGCTCCACTTTTCTCATGTTGGACATTTTTCTGATGAGGGTGTCACGGTCAACAGTCAAAACGATCGTCCTTTAAGAGCGTTTGGAAAGAGACAAGTCTTCATTTGTGCTGCTCTGGTGGGAGGGGCCACGTACAGAGACGCTGGAGACGCTGCTGTGATAAACACCACAGAAAATTAACACCATTTTAATAGAAAATATTATTAAAATATTTGAGTAGAAAATCACCCAAGGGCCACATTAAAGGTCTTGGAGGGCCGGATCTGGCCCCCAGGCCGTATGTTTGACACCTGTGATCTCGGGTTAGCGTCACGTTTGGAAAAGTCCTTGACAGATTCAGGCATCGTGGAGTCGAATCCCGGGAAGTTCCGGCTCGGAGACAACGAACTTCAGGAGCGACGAGACTTTGTGGAACAGACCAGGAAATCTGTGCAGGTAAAAACAACACGTGTGGCAGGGGTTCACCTGTCTCCACCTGTCTCCACCTGTCCCCACCTGTCACCACCTGTCTCCACCTGTCTCCACCTGTCTCCACCTGTCTCCACCTGTCCCCACCTGTCACCTGTCAACCTGTCTCCACCTGTCCCCACCTGTCACCAACCTGTCTCCACCTGTCCCCACCTGTCTCCAAATGTCTCCACCTGTCTCCACCTGTCACCACCTGTCACCAAATGTCTCCACCTGTCTCCACTTGTCTCCACCTGTCTCCACTGTCCCCACCTGTCCCCACCTGTCTCCACCTGTCCCCACCTGTCCCCACCTGTCTCCACTTGTCCCCACCTGTCCCCACCTGTCTCCACCTGTCCCCACCTGTCTCCACCTGTCTCCACCTGTCCCACCTGTCTCCACCTGTCCCCACCTGTCCCACCTGTCTCCACCTGTCTCCCCACCTGTCCCCACCTGTCCCCACCTGTCCCCACCTGTCCCCACCTGTCTCCCACCTGTCTCCACCTGTCTCCACCTGTCTCCACCTGTCCCCACCTGTCCCCACCTGTCTCCACCTGTCTCCCACCTGTCCCCACCTGTCCCCACCTGTCTCCACCTGTCTCCACCTGTCCCCACCTGTCCCACCACCTGTCCCACCTGTCCCCCTGTCCCACTGTCTCCACCTGTCCCCACCTGTCTCACCTGTCCACACCTGTCCCACCTGTCTCCACCTGTCTCCACCTGTCCCACCTGTCCCCACCTGTCTCCACCTGTCCCCACCTGTCTCCACACCTGTCTCCACCTGTCTCCCACCTGTCCCCACCTGTCCCACACCTGTCCCACCTGTGTCCCACCTGTCTCCACCTGTCCCACCTGTCCCCACCTGTCTCCCACCTGTCCCACCTGTCTCCACTGTCCCCACCTGTCCCCACCTGTCTCCACTGTTCTGTCCCACCTGTGTCTCCACCTGTCTCCACCTGTCTCCACCTGTCTCCACCTGTCCCCACCTGTCCCCACCTGTCCCACCTGTCTCCACCTGTCCCCACCTCCCTCCATCCGCGCTCTGGACAGAGGAGCATGTCCGGCCAAAATAAACTGTGATTAATCTGCGTTAAAAATATATTAGTGTGATCATTTTTTTGTGATTAATCTCATAACGGCCCCTGTTTCATTCATAAATGTTTAACGCACAAAGCTGCACTTTTATTTTCTTTCTCTCAAACAGAATAAAACGTGATAATACATCTTGATTTATATAAAGCACCACAATCCACAAAGAACAATACCAAAGCACAAAAACAAAACCAGACCACGAATGAACGAATCAAACAGTCCAATAAATTATAATAAATAAATAAAAACAAACAGAGAAATTCAGTTTGTCATCTGGACATTTATTTAGGTCAAACATGTTTCGCAGTTTGGATGAGCTTATTTATTTAGATTATAAAGAGAAGGGCAGGGCAAAAATAAAACATCTTAATCGCATTAATCACATGAGCTCCTGTGATTAATCATGATTAATCACGTGTTTTACGCAGAACCAGTGAATGAATTCAAAAGTAGAATATAGTGACTTTTATTGTAAATGTAAATAAAAGTGCCACAGGTGTCGTACAAACAGAACATTTGTTTAAACAGGAGCAGGACACGAGTCTGTACAGTCCATCTTTATTCTTCTAACTTTGGTTCTTTTTTTTTTTTTTTTTGTGGGATTTTCCAGTTTCAGTTCAGTTTCTCAATTCCTAGAATTTGACTTAATAAATTTAATTGAAAAATTCATGTGATCAGCAGCAGGAAAATAAAGCAACAGTATAAATCTAAATATAAAACTGACATGTGTTTCTGCTGCCAGAACTTTAATGTTATAAAAAAATGAGAATCTCAGTCAAAACAGAACAAACAACCAGAAAACACTTTAGTACATTTTTTTTTTTTTTTACTTTTCTGAATAAAAGCCAGTTGCTAAGGCATACAAGATCATTATTATTATTGTTTTAATTATTATTATTGTTATTATTATTTTAATTAGTTATATTTTATTATTATTATTAAGAATGTGATCGCTGTGGTGCCTCTGAAAACTCTTGACCCCTACGCTCCGTGTGTTTGTGTTACATGTGTTTGTGCATTTGTGCGTTTCTGTGTTTGTGCGTCTGACTCGTCGCATCTCGCGTGCCAAAACAAAACTGAAAAAATGAATCATTATCTGTTTTTTTTTTTGTTTTGTTTTGGTTTGGTTTTGGAGACAAATAATGAAAAAAATCGTTGCTTTTTTCGTTTTCGTTTCAAAAAAACGAACTAATGAACGAGTGACACGGTTTCTAAACGCTCAGGAGGATCGGTTTTGTTCCGTGTCGTTCCGTGTCTGACGGTGAAACATTCCGAGTGTGTGACGTCACTGGAAACAGAAACAGGCTGATGTATTTTTAGAGTCGTGTTATTGTTGTGAGGTGTAGGTGGAGGGGTCAGAGGTCGCGGCGGAGTGGAAAGCGTGAGTCACCGGAGAGTGTGTGTGTGTGTGTGTGTGTGTGTGTGTGTGTGCGTGCGTGCGTGTGTGTGTGAATCAGGTCAGAGCTGAGTCACACAGGGCGCAGGTCGTGTTTGGATTATGATGAGAGCGACTGGTTTAAACGAACCTCGAGAATCAGAACATTTAAATCAAATTAAAATAAAACAAAACAGGTTTTAAACATATTTTTTTCATCTTTAAGTGCGTTTGACACATTTGTATACTGTTCTGGTTAATTTGGTTTTCAAAATAAAACCCAAAAATAAAAAAAACAACAACAAAACAACTATTTTCTTCATTATTTGTCTCCAAAACCAAAATGAAAAAAAAAAAAAAAACTGATAATGATTCATTTTTTCTGTTTTCGATTTTGTATTTAATTGAAAAATGGAAAAAACTGATAACGGACTAAACCAGGACTAAAACAGGACTGAACCAGGACTAAAACAGGACTAAAACAGGACTAAAACAGGACTAAAACAGGATTAAAACAGGACAAAAACAGGACTAAACCAGGTCTAAAACAGGACTAAAACAGGACTAAAACAGGACTAAGCCAGGACTAAACAAGGACTGAACCAGGACTAAACCAGGACTAAACTAGGTCTTAAACAGGACTGAGCCAGGATTAAAAACCAGGACTAAAACAGGACTAACACAGGCCTAAACAAGGACTAAACCAGGACTGAACCAGGACTGTGGGATGGGTCAAATCCAGAGTTATTTTTGGTGAAATCTTGTATGTTTTTGTTTTCTGGTGTGTTCCAGGAGATGAAGGATCAGCTGTCCAGTCCCACCGCTGTGGCTCAGGCTGAGAAGAAGAACAGACAGGTCCAAAACTCTCTCTGGGATCAAGTATAGACGGATTATTATTTGTTTATCAGCACCGTGGAGCCGGAGAGCAGAAAGCCCCGCGCACATGAAGCTGGAACGTTCACTCGAGCTGCTCTCAGCACTAAAACAGTTTGTCCTCGTGTGATTAAATAAGTTCTGATGCTAAACGAACATGAGGGAGTTGGATTTGTCTTAGGCCCCGTTCACACTAGTGTGTATGGGAGTGGTGTTGTTGTGTGTACAGTGTTCGTTCACATTAATCCAACTGAAAACGGCTCCAGAGTCTGAACGATCTGGTGCCTCCAGCTCCACGAGTTCATGTTGGTCCAGATGTGACGGGGACTGTGGGACTCCTGAAAACTCTGATACTCTGATGTAGGAGCTGGAGTCTCGTCCTGATTGGACACGTCACTGTGACTCGCTCCTTCTGATTCTCTGGGTTCGTGACGTCGTCATGTGACGATCTCGAGGAAAACAGTTTAAACAAACCAGAGACAAACGAGAAACAGCCGAGATACAAATACTCGCTCGTACATGGTTCACGAAAACACTTTTCACTCTTGTCGTCTTCCTCGGCTCGAAATCGGCTGCTGTAACTTACGAGTGTTTCAGGCAGTTTCTCGTTAAAAGGTGAAGTCTAGTTCTACAGGTCTGTGTGTTTCACATGAACCATCTCCAACACGACAGAAACACAGAACAGACTCACCATCAGCAGAACAACCCTCTGACACAGAGAGAACACCCCTCTGTCACACAGAGAGAACACCCCTCTGTCACAGAGAGAACACCCCTCTGTCACACAGAGAGAACACCCCTCTGACACAGAGAGAACACCCCTCTGACACAGAGAGAACACCCCTCTGTCACAGAGAGAACACCCCTCTGTCACACAGAGAGAACACCCCTCTGACACAGAGAGAACACCCCTCTGTCACAGAGAGAACACCCCTCTGACACAGAGAGAACACCCCTCTGTCACACAGAGAGAACACCCCTCTGTCACAGAGAGAACACCCCTCTGTCACAGAGAGAACACCCCTCTGACACAGAGAGAACACCCCTCTGTCACAGAGAGAACACCCCTCTGTCACAGAGAGAACACCCCTCTGTCACAGAGAGAACACCCCTCTGACACAGAGAGAACACCCCTCTGACACAGAGAGAACACCCCTCTGACACAGAGAGAACACCCCTCTGTCACACAGAGAACACCCCTCTGACACACAGAGAGAACACCCCTCTGTCACACAGAGAGAACACCCCTCTGACACAGAGAGAACACCCCTCTGTCACAGAGAGAACACCCCTCTGTCACACAGAGAGAACACCCCTCTGTCACAGAGAGAACACCCCTCTGACACAGAGAGAACACCCCTCTGACACAGAGAGAACACCCCTCTGACACAGAGAGAACACCCCTCTGTCACAGAGAGAACACCCCTCTGACACAGAGAGAACACCCCTCTGACACAGAGAGAACACCCCTCTGACACAGAGAGAACACCCCTCTGTCACACAGAGAGAACACCCCTCTGTCACAGAGAGAACACCCCTCTGTCACACAGAGAGAACACCCCTCTGACACAGAGAGAACACCCCTCTGTCACAGAGAGAACACCCCTCTGTCACACAGAGAGAACACCCCTCTGTCACAGAGAGAACACCCCTCTGTCACACAGAGGAGAACACCCCTCTGTCACAGAGAGAACACTCATATTCCACAAGGAGAGAACAGTTTTTTCAGCCTTAGTTTATGCAAATGAGTCATGTGGTTTTAAGTTTTGTTTCTGTAAAACGTAAATAAATATGCTCAGAACTGTGGACAGGGACGGTGTGCAGACACAGAAAACGACGTGTCTGGACTAGAGACGGACATTTGATGAAATTTTCTTAATCGATCGTCGGAAGAATTAACGATTGATTATCGATGAATCATTAACGTTTTTATATTAAAATGATCATCATTATTATTACTATCTGCACTAATCTGCATCAATAAATTCAACTTTACGACATATAAACATAACGACTCTAGATCCACATCAGCTGTTTGACATTATAATGTGTTTAATTCAGTTTTGTTCAAATCTCACAGAAACAAAACTTAAAACCACATCACTAATTTACATAAACTAAGTGAAGATAAAACTCCAGCTCTTGTGTCGCTGATGTGGTTCAACTTGTGTTGGATTAAAAGACATGACTCAGGTGAATACAGGTCAGTGTGACCAGATTTGTGTTTGTCAAAACCAGGACAGCGTACGGGGGGAGGGGGGCGGGGCCTCGTCATCCACATTGAGCGACTCTCACCTGGAAAAACTTTTTCCCACTGGACACAGAAACATATGTGCTGCTTTATCCACTGTGCACATGGACTCACACTTGTCCCAACGCAACGGAAAGTGTGGAATTTCTTCTACAAATCCTGGTTAAATCCACATTTGTGCTTCGGTTCGTTACAGACTGACCCACTGTTTGTGTCTCGCTCCTTCTGATGCAGAGACACATGTACACACCTGTTTGTCACGACACACACACATACATTCAGTTTGTCCATTAAAATGAACGGAATCCATCAAATTCTTAATGATCAATTATCGATTAATCGATTAATCATGCCCATCCCTAGTCTGGACGCAAATCGTTTCCGATGCGGTGATTCTTTTCCGTGTAAATGTAGCTGAGAAACACGACAGAGAAACACAAAAATAGGTCAATAATCAGATTAGTCGTGGGAGGACTGATGCCAAATTATTCAAGTGTTGATATAGACATTTTTGAACAATTTTGTGTTTTTCCAAATAGAATTTTAACACTTGTATTTGTGCCCAGGCTCTGATTTCTTCGGGGGAGCGGTCGACGGGACTCGAGGCTCATCTGGTCTCGGCAAACTCCAGATACATCCAGGAGCAGCAGGAGCAGCAGCAGGTGAACGGTTCAAACACTAAACATGTACAGAGACAGATTCACACTTCGCTGAGTTAAACGAGGGAGGAGCTTTTCTGAAGACGCAGGTTTATTGGCGTCGTAAGAGTTAAATCCGACCTGTTGGATCCAAACGGTTCTTCTCAGGTCTTTCTCCACGTTCTAGTCGTTTGTTCTCACATTGATCCTCTGGCGTTGGATTCGGAGCGATTCGTGTTTGAGGAAACTTCAGTCGCTTCATTTCAGTTCTCCATTTTGCCGATCTCCTCGCGGTTCACGCCCACTCTTCCTTCTCCAGTTCGATGTTCTTCGTGGGTGATGCTCGTAGGATTGGGCGGCGGCGTTTTGGTCCAAATGTCAAAAAAAAAAAAGCTCTGCTCCAGTGTGACGTGCAGAAGGAGGGACCACAGCCTGGTTTAGTCCTGGTTTAGTCCTGGTTTAGTCCTGGTTTAGTCCTGGTTTAATCCTTGTTTAGTCCTGGTTTAGATCTGGTCTAGTCCTGGTTTAGATTTGGTTACATTTTTTTTTAGTCCTGGTCTAGTCCTGGTTTAGTCCCGGTTTAGTTTTGGTTTAGTCCTGGTCTAGTCCTGGTTTAGTCCCAGTTTAGTTTTGTTTTAGTCCTGGTTTAGTCCCGGTTTAGTTTTGGTTTAGTCCTGGTCTAGTTCTGGTCTAGTCCTGGTTTAGTCCTGGTTTAGTTCTCGTTTAGTTTTGGTTTAGACCTGGTTTAGCCCCGGTTTAGTCCTAGTTTAGTCCTGGTTTAGTCCTGGTTTAATTTTGTTTTAGTCCTGGTCTAGTCCTGGTCTAGTCCTGGTTTAGTCCTGATTTAGTTCTGGTTTAGTCCTGGTTTAGTCCTAGCTTAGTCCTGGTTTAGTCCCGGTTTAGTTTTGTTTTAGTCCTGGTCTAGTCCTGGTCTAGTCCTGGTCTAGTCCTGGTCTAGTCCTGGTTTAGTCCTGGTTTATTCCTTGTTTAGTCCTGATATAGTCCTAATTACGTCCTGGTCTAGTCCTGGTCTAATACTGGTTTAGTCCTGGTTTAGTCCTGGTCTAGTCCTGGTTTAGTCCTGGTCTAGTCCTGGTCTAGTCCTGGTTTAGTCCTGGTTTAGTTCTGGTTTAGTTTTGGTTTAGTCCTGGTTTAGATCCTGGTTTGGTCCATGTGGCTCTTTGTTGTCGTGACGTTTACATTCCTCCTTTCTCTTTTTCTAGTTTCTCTTGTTTCTTTTCTGAAGTCGTTTTAGATCAATATTATGATTTAAAATGTCTAAATTAAAACCTGAATATCAATGTTTGTCAGAGATTATAACAGAGACACACAGAAGCGCTACAGGTCTGGTTTAAGTGTGTTTTTGTACCGCGTTTTTACAGAAGTTAATAAAAATGTTCTCATCATGTTTGTGTATTAGTTGATAATGCAGGAGCAGGATGAGCAGCTGGAGCTGGTCTCTGGGAGTATCCGAGTACTCAAAGACATGTCCGGACGCATCGGAGACGAGCTGGACGACC